CACTGCTTCCACATTGTTCCACATGTGGTTACATAAGACCAGTGAGAAAGCTGATGGATCATCCTGCTGTGTCAAGTCAAGTGTTTCTCATCATCATACCGGTTAGTCTGTGTTTGTGTGTGCGTGTATGTGTGCTTGGGGGGACTTGGGGTTCAAGTAAACTGCCAGGTTGGTTACGCACACCAGTGTCGATTGTGTAATATTTGAGTGCGTCCTTAGTCTAATAATCTACAGTGGAATGAGAGAATCACTGAATCACTCATCTACTCACAGCTGATAATTCTGTGTGTGTGTATGTGTGTGGCTGTGAGCCAACATTGTAAAAGTCAATAAGAGATGTTCTTCAGTTTATCGATAATAATAATAATAATAATAATAATAATAATAATAATAATAATAATAATAACAATAATAATAATAGTAATGACCGTTAATTATAATGCAGATGGAGGGGGTGTATCAATTTCAAGGTAGGGAGTAACTGACTCATCTGTTTGTGTGTGCTTGTGTGTGTGTGTGTATGAGTGTGCTTGTCCCGAGATATGAACTCGTGTTCAATGTGTTGAGTATTCTCTGTCAACATGATTAAGCATAGAAATATCAATTACAGGAGGATGCAAACACGTAGAGTGAAGTAAGTCTGCATGACAAGACGTCCATGTATGCTCACTTGGTATCCGTTTGGAAGAATTTTCTAGTCTCTGGCATATACACCACACAAAACACATAACAATTGACTACTGAAAAGTGGGGATTACTCACTTGATAGTTTAATCGACTACTGTTACACTTGGTTAGTGATGACGACTTAGGAACAACACCATACATTCCTAGAAATCCTTCTCATCTTCCAAATGATTGATCCACTCAGCATACTGATGACACTGAAGATTACGTAGTTAGGTGGTGGACGTCTGTTCAAATGATTGAACAGAAATGATGCAGGACAGATCAACTAAACTGTCTACATAACACAATCCATCCTTCCACAGTAATCTGATGGAGTGATATTGAACGTCCACTGAGGATAATTCAACTCTACGATGTACTTCACGTCGAATGCATCATTCCGTTCGACATCCACATCGACAGTCTGCTCATCCATGCTCAGTTCACAATGGTATAAACAGATTATCGTTGACGCTGATGGTGAATTAGCATTCCTCAGTATTTTGTGATGATTTCATCAACCACTGTCGGTTGGTGTATGGACTGCTAGATGGCTGAACATCGGTGAGGCCATGGCATCCATACAGTGATTAGTCAATTCCATCCAAGCTACCCATCTCATTGTAGCCCAGTGGATAACGCTGTACCGTTTGAAGCGACACGCATCCGAATTTCACTTCACTCAGATCAGCATGACTGTCGAAGTGTGGATGCTTCATTTACAAAATATCAGACATGCATCCTCGAGTCAACTGGGAACCACTTGTCATCGTTCACTCTAACATGACACCAGTGACTGAGGAAATGACCTGAACAATTCGATGACACTGGTTGAAACATACACCAATACATCCTATCAAATTGATCTTCACCAATACACTTTACTCCCACTATGTGGACTCGCTCACTCACCAACTAACATCCACGCTCTCTCTATGTGATTTCCAGGTGTCAGCCAGCACAGTGACAGAGAGCGGTCATCATCATCATCATCATCATCATCATCAACTATTCATAAGTGGTATGGCAATGATGGAATCATAAATTTTATCTCATTTTCCCTGAATTCTATAACAAAAATTTATCGCATTATACACCGCAGGAATCCAAGATTACAACTCGTCTGGGTCAATGATCACTGCTCATCAACTTCCCATTTCCACAGGCACCAGTTGGCACAGCTTCAATAAATCCCTTTGCATATATTCTTCTGGACATGAATCAGATGACTCAAGTGTGACAAGTCCTTTATACAACCTGTCATTCCTTTCTCATGATGGCGGTGCCCCTACAAATATGCCTCGATTCGTATTTCACGGTATGCTACGATCCCCTCTTCTATGCTCTTCTACAATCATAGCCTCATCTCTACGCCTATCTCTTATCCTGTATTAGGGTTAATCTCCGCAGCATGCACTACAGATTGTCATCTCAAGGAGAGGTAATCCATGTCTGTTTCGACACATCATCGCATGGAAATCTCCTCGAGTTTGCAGACACGTTTTCGAGAAGAGCAGACTGCCAGCCAGCCACCCAGCCAACCAACCACAGTTCCTTCTCGCTTACTTTTGTTATTCTCACCATCTGACCGATCTTCAGTTTTGAGTAAGCGTAGGCGACAGCTGTTGATGATGTATGCTGTCTGCAGTTTCTTGGAAATGCTTTTCGTAAAGTGCTGCCAAGTCTCTCAACCATCACCTGGAAGTTCTGCTTTGCTTGACTGGATGAGTGTTGAAAATCCACATCTTGTTCACGCTTTGTGCTGAGTGCAGTCCAATACTAGACAGTAGATCTTCACACTGATTATTTCAGATTGATGCAGGAAAGCATGTCTTGCTGTCTTTTCTCTGCTGGCTTTGACATCGTCATCTGTGCCAGTGCTGCATGTAGTTGAAGCGATGCTGTCTAGGTAGGTATTTCGGTGAGACGGGCTACTTCCCTTCGATTCCGCCCGTTCATGGTGACTGGTGCCTCTTGTTGTTGTTGGTATTGTTGTTGATTGATTGGGTATCTTCATCACCTCTGTCTTCTCTACGTACACCTGAACGAAGTGCCTTCTCCGCTGCCACACCTCACCTCACCTCGCCTCGCCTTGCCTTTCCTCTTCAGCCAACTTGTTAGTTTTCGCGTGTAGATCTTCGAGTTTGTGCCACAAGACATTAGACATAAATCGTTATCATCATCATCATCATCATCATCATCATCATCATCATCATCATCATCATCATCATCATCATCATCATCATCATCATCATCATCATCATCATCATCATCATCATCATCATCATCATCATCATCATCATCATCATCATCATCATCATCATCATCATCATCATCATCATCATCATCATCATCATCATCATCATCATCATCAGCGAAATCCAAATATTCTTCTGAGGTCTGCTCATCGCATCAGTCAGAAGGCGTATGTTCATCTTCTCGCAGCTCCTCACAGTTGTCTGTTATATAATCCAGTTCACCACAATCAGGAATCACTAGTCACCGCTAGGGCGATATATTTCACACTGACAGGTAAGTGAGCAGTTGGTTGATTATTCGATGACATTCAGCATACCATCACTTCCACTGACCATTGAACACACTGAAATGGTGTCTGTAAATGATAGGTAAAACCGAGTGGTAACTTGTATACTGGCGTTTACCATCCGAGTGGAAGTGGAAAGATTTCAACTAGTGGTATCCCAATTATCAGTTGTGTAGTCTCATGACTGACTTCGAAAGATCTGCATGTATCCCCAAATGATATTGCCCTTGAATCTCGCGTAAACTACACACCACTCAACATGGATATCTCATTGTACTGGTTGTTGTGACTCACAGAATGCGTCTTTTTACAAGCTGAAATAATAATTTCACATCTGTGAGTGGAAGTCTTCTGTGGAACTTATTCATATGATGACACACTGGAAATACAACTCAGTGTTCTCCTTGAATTAACGAACATTCTGGTAGAGACATCTACCACCATCAATGTGTCACAGTCAACAAAGACGATGTTGCATTTCCTAGATGACAGAGTACTGAACACTGTTGCCTTCTCAGTGTTCGTCAGTAGTCGCATGTCTGATTTCTCCGTGGTTCGACAATTGGAATAAGCTGATTGTCAACTGTGATACCCGACGACTGAGAGAATGATACTCATTTGAGTTGAAACCAGTTGGTGATGAGGTGTTGACCGAGATCCAACGGATACTGTATCCCCTTTCCCCCTAGAAACACCACAGTGTCCTCCTTCCACTGGTGTATCATGCCTCGAGTACATGGTACTTCCACCTCCTTTCTACCATTCTCCTCACCTAAATTCCCCCGAAATTATTTCTAATGCGCGACCGTCCTTAATTGGTTCAGCGATTTGTTGGTTAACCTCGATAATGAATGAGACACTGACCTACATAATAGTAGACTGGTCCTCTATGCTACTTCATAGTGACTGCTTCTCTATGGAGTGGTGTGGTGCTTTTCCGGTGGGTACAGTGCCAGGTTTCACTTCTCAGAGGGATACGTGGCCCACTTGAGTTGCACGAAATTGGGTAGTAACATGTCTGTGATGCCCATAAGTGCCCTGAAGTCCATGGGCACACACCCGCAACAATGATGGTGCCAGATAGTTAGGAACCTGACCCGGAAGGATTGAGCACACTGTTTCATCACCGTCATGAATGGGATTGGGGCATGCAATTATCCCATGTGAACCAGGAATTCGTGGTAAGTACAAGTTATAAGCTCAGATAGCCGACGTGTTCACCTGTGTGAAATGTCTGGGTGTCAGGTCAATTGTCATGCTGGTGGTATTTTACGAATACGGTGTGTTAGAACATCCCGGTGAAATCCTTCCATCAACAAGAAAACTCAAGTCTAAACAATATTGATTTAGTGTAGGAAGACGAAACTTCTACCTCATCATGGCTCGGTTGAAGAAATTCTGCTGACTGTAGTTAACCACCACCTGATGTCAGACAAAGAGGTCAACATCAGTAATTGGCACCCACTACTGAGTAGTCTTGAAACGAGAATGAAACCAACATCTAGTTAGTTAGTACCCACGGACACACTGTCGTTTTCCAAGCGATGCCAATCCTACCTCTATGGAGAGCAATTTCAAATCGACTTCACTTCACAGAAAACATTCTAACTTTCCACACTCCCAGCTACTTCACAACCAAAATGACATTCTCCAACAACTCCTAAATATCCTGATAACTTCAACGATATCCAGTTTCACTTTCATTGTTCAGATTATTCAATCTCTGTGTCCTACAGCACATGATTCCATTCCCCTTTCACACATTTGTCTACCTCCATTATTACAGGATTGATAGCAAAGGCGATACTCAGTACTCAAGAGAGACGTATGATTCTCTCCGAGATTTATCAGTGGATTCAATCACGCTACGCCTACTTTCGTACACGTGGTCCTGGTTGGCGTAATTCAATTCGACACAACTTGTCGTTGAATGACTGTTTCGTTAAAGTTGGTAAGTCGCTTGTAATTTATTACACTCCTTCGGTTGTTGAACAGTGACACTGGTGAATTAGACAGAACAAGAAGAGAAGGTGAGCGAGTTTATCATCGTTCCGAATTGAAAATGATGGTGATGATTATGAGGATGATGAGCATGAGAATCCTAAGCATGGAATTTCGACTACCTTCGACTACTTTGAAATGACGTAGTAGTCCTACTAGTAGCAGTAGCAGTAGCAGTGTGAGTAGAGGTAGTAGTATGCATATTATCTATAATAACAATAATACTAACCATAACAGTGATGATAATAATAGTAATAATGATACTTGCAGGCATCTGTTATGCATGGAAGTCATGTGTGAATATAGTTTCACATACACAGAGGTTGATGACAGCTTGTTGATGATGCTCGAGCACACGATGACGATGATACCCGAGTTACACATCTCACATGTGTTCATAGTTCTATGAGATATCAGTCTCCTAGTCTACTTCCTAGGAGTCACATGACAGTCTGGATGCTCCCCAACAGACTCTCAACATAAAATGATGGTGTCGTTCTAGGTGAGAACGCTGAGAGTTGAACTCTGAGATGTGACAAAAAACACCTGACATCGACTGAATGATTTCCTCTACTATACACTTGCATGCACTGTATAGAAACTTTGGCTTAGGCTACACGTAGAAGTGGCTGGGATCACAGGTGAATAATATCCAAGTGATGTAGGTTGTTCAGCAAGAATCATTGAAGGGGAGTAGGAAGTGAGTATCCGAGGACACATACTCTACTCACCATATCCACAGTGGATCACATTGCACAATATTTCTCTCTCTCTCATATCCACTAGGAGAATGAGGCCATTTAAGAAGGTGGATATTGCAAACTGAATTTGTCAGTGGTTCACCGACTTCTAGTTGTACCGAGTTGAGAAGGATGGATTGTTAGGTTATGACTACAGTCTCCATGCCAGTGAGTAGAACCTTGGAGGAGGCTGTGAACCCATGTCATTTGATATTCCTGGAAAGTACTATCTGTACGTGGTCACGTTGTCCTCTTGAATGCATGATTTTGTCTGGAGAGTAAGTTGAAGTTAGATGGCTTGTAAGTGACTTCTCGGAACACTTGAACTGTGGATTCCATGATTGTAGTGTCTTAGACAGCCTGTGTGAATTTGTAGGTGTTTCAGTGGTTAATTATTTGCTTCTCTGTTTTGAACATTATCCACATGTTGACATATTCAGAATTATCGATGTTCTCTTTTCTTCAACTACATGCGCACACATACACAGGAAGAGCAACGAACGGCAAGGGACACTACTGGGGAATACATCCAGCCAATTTGAAAGACTTCCTCTGTGGTGATTTCAGGAGACGTAGAGCACAACGGAAGGTACGTAGAGCTCTCGGACTGGCTCGTCCTGATGATGGGGAAGACGATGATGACGATGGCGATGGCGATGACGATGAAGATGGTGACGATGGTTATGAGGATCGGGAGTCATCATCACAGAAATCCCCAATCACACCACTCACCTCACATGCACAACTCCTGTCACGAAGAACAATCAAATGTCCACTGCATCCATCGAAGTCACCAACTACAACGACTCCTGCAAAACTGTCAACACATCAATACCTCTTGACCAACACATCATCACACCTACTACATACATCCCCAACCATCACAAACTCATTGACAATCGGGTCCAACCAACTCACATCCTCATTCACCAGTCAACCATCAAGGAATCCAGTCAACACTGTGTCTCACATCAACAACCATCCCTTCACTGATCCACTCATCCACAATTCACCCTCAACACAACATTGTCATCCCTCAACAATTCATCCATTTACATGTCATATTCCGACACCTCGAATCAACAATACAAGTGAGGTGAACAGGACACTGGAAACATTGAAGCCTCTCAAACACTTCCATCCACCGACACCAGTGAACACTCAATCAACCAAATTGAGTTCCACCAACCCACTCACAGAACTCTTCTATTCACATCTCATGCAATTCCTCACCAGTCAGTCAACAGTCTCATCTTCTCCTGTCCACTCCACATCTCAGATAACCTCACCAACTAACTTGATGAGTATTCGTGATAGCAGATTTTGTGATAACTTCAGTGGTAATTGGAGTCATGAGGAGAAGTCATCAGAGAACTCGTTCGATCAGACGATGAGGACTTCTCCTCCTACTCCACATCGTCATCGTCATCATCATTGCTGTCCACATCCTCAACAACGTGTGATGAATGTCAGTTTCAATGTGGTCAACTTGATTGATCATCCCAACTATGACGGTGATACTGTGGTGGTGATGATAATCATCATGATGATGATGATGAGTGATGTGATGGGGTCGATGTGGTCACTACAGTCACTGAGGAACACGACGGAGAGCATTCAAGCTATGCAGCCATCAATGAGGATCACTTGAATTCCGAGAATAAACAAACTGTTCATTTCAAAGAACTATCCACTTCAAATACTTCTTTCTTATCGAATAATTCAGAGAGTCCATTAGATTATACGATAAATAATTAAAACTATTTTCAAAAATGCATTACTCACTTTTCATTATATGTTCGCTTAATTTGATTTATAACGTGTATCTCTAGGAGATGTCAGATTCACTGTGCAACTCATTCTCACTCACTCACTCACTCACTCACTCACTCACTCACTCACTCACTCACTCACTCACTCACTCACTCACTCACTCACTCACTCACTCACTCACTCACTCACTCACTCACTCACTCACTCACTCACTCACTCACTCACTCACTCCCCAACTCACTCACTCACTCCCCAACTCACTCACTCACTCCCCAACTCACTCACTCACTCCCCAACTCACTCACTCACTCCTCAACTCAAACACGCAGACACATATACATGTTCACTTCCATGGATTCCTAATTTACCCATATCACATGGTGTCTAGGTGTTTGACAAAAGATTTCACTAACAGATTCTTCAGTAAATGGTCAAGTGTATAGTTATGAAAGAGTCATTGAATCAACTTCTGTAAACCAGAGGAAACAGGGATTGGTGACGTGATAGCACTACATGAGTGTACACCAATGATTTAGCTGAAACCAAATAAGTCAGTAGATGGAAAATCGGTGGTCTTCAGTTTTGAAAGCGTTCGATTTGACTTCAGTTGGTATACTTTTATGGTGTTTGAAGGATTCAATGTGGATTTTGAAGACTAGTAACTAAGTTCTCTTCTACCTAGCAAATGACAAGTGAAGTTTTTGGGGAAATATTTTAAAAAATGCCTATTTCACGAGAATGGATAATGCTACATAGTTAGTTACCACAGTTAGTATTGGAATTTCTCCTTTCAGCTTGAAATTCCTTCTGTATTAGTTACACCATGTTTTCTACTCCTCTATGTTTCTGTCTGTCTGTTTGTCTGTCTGTCTCTATGTGTGAGTGTGTGTGTATGTGTTGATAGTCAATTTGAGTCCTGGTTGCAACGGTGACGTGATTATCCCTCATCGGCACTCTAAATCTCTTGATAATTAAATTCTTAATCAATGGTGATTTACTTCGTGACTGTCTCAATTACCACATGAGTGGTTTCGGTTTTACATAATGTCACCTTGTGTCTGTCAAGGTGAGCATGGCAAACTGTTTAAGTAATGAGGCTTGGAGTCTTGACTAGTAGATTATTATTATAAGTATTATTATTATTATTTATCCCTTGTATTCATAATGCAACATACAAATTCAATAGCACGCCTCCATTCCACTGTCTTCTCTGAACTCTTTTCAACCTGCCCCCTAGACAACCCACAAGCTCTCATTTATTCCAAGCACAATCTCCTACATGTCACCCTCATCTCGGATGCACAAATCGTCACTTCCCATCAGGGTTCCACTCGATCGCCTGACCTGATGCGTCATGTCCCCAGTCGGTCTTCTCAGTGTATCCCCAATCCAATCCAATTCAATCCACCTCCACTCCCCTCCACTGCACATTTCTTGAGTGATTGGTTCTTACTTCGTTGGTTCATTGCCAGCCAGCCAGCCAGCCAGCCAGCCAGCCAGCCAGCCAGCCAGCCAGCCAGCCAGCCAGCCAGCCAGCCAGCCAGCCACCCAGCCACCCAACCACCCAGCCAACCAACCAACCAACCAACCACAGTTCCTTCTCGCTTACTTTTGTTATTCTCACCATCTGACCGATCTTCAGTTTTGAGTAAGCGTAGGCGACAGCTGTTGATGATGTATGCTGTCTGCAGTTTCTTGGAAATGCTTTTCGTAAAGTGCTGCCAAGTCTCTCAACCATCACCTGGAAGTTCTGCTTTGCTTGACTGGATGAGTGTTGAAAATCCACATCTTGTTCACGCTTTGTGCTGAGTGCAGTCCAATACTAGACAGTAGATCTTCACACTGATTATTTCAGATTGATGCAGGAAAGCATGTCTTGCTGTCTTTTCTCTGCTGGCTTTGACATCGTCATCTATGCCAGTGCTGCATGTAGTTGAAGCGATGCTGTCTAGGTAGGTATTTCGGTGAGACGGGCTACTTCCCTTCGATTCCGCCCGTTCATGGTGATTGGTCCCTCTTCTGGTTGTTGATGGATTGGATATCTGTATCACCTCTGTCTTCTCTACGCTCATTTGAACAAAGTCTCTTCTTCGCTGCCTCACCTCACCTCGACTTGCCTTGCCTCCCCTTGCCTTGCCTTGCCTCTTCAGCCAACTTGTTAGTTTTCGCCTGAAGATCTTCGAGTTTGTGCGACAAGACATTAGACGTAAATCGTCATCATCATCATCATCGCGAAACCCAAATGTTCTTCTGAGGTCTGTTTATCGCATCGGTCAGAAAGCGTATGTCCATCTTCTCACAGTTGTCTGTTACATGATCTAGTGCAGTCCCGTCTAGTAGACCACAATCATGAAGGTGACCAATGTTAGTAGGCGGCAGCCTTGTCTTACTCCGTCCTGTCTTCACTTCAAAGGTGTCACTGAGCTTTCCATTATGCTGTGAATCACTCGGCATTTGACATCTTCTTGTAGCCATTGAATGAGGTTGATAAAGGTTTGTTGCACTAAAACCGTAGTGTTGAGTCAGCTGTCTGCCAAATTACTTCTCGGTCGACGCCATCGAAGGCCTTTTCAAAGTCGATGAAGTCGAGGTTGAGTTGAGTTGACTGCCATTCCATGTTCTGTTCCATGATGATGATGATGTGTAGCGTTGCAATTTGGCCCGCACATGATTTGTTTCTCCTGAAGCCAGTCAGCCAGCCAGATTATTTCGGTTGTAATTTTGAATCCAGAGCATCTTTTAGTCTCTGCAAGATGATGTGGCTTATTATTTTGCTTGGGGTGGACAGCAGCATGTTTCCTCGAATTAATCAAGGTAAGTGAAATAAAACTAGACATCTAAGTTTCGCACCTACATAGCATCTTCAGTATGGTTTGTTGAAAATTCTACTCACTGGCAAATATTTATCGACTCTGGTCACTTTGTCCTTCTTAGTCAGTCTTACTGACTGACATATGAGTTTGATAGACATCTGATGTGTAATTCTTATTGATCGGCACACTCTCTGAAATATCATCTGATACTCACATGTTGAAGGATTGAATCCACTAAGGAAGTTGTTTTGCTGTCAGTAATTGAAGTGTCATCATATTTGATGATCATTGAACATCCTTAATTTAAAAGACAGCGTGTTAAATCTCCACACCCTAAGTAACTCATCAACCCAAAAAGTCTCTTACTAACTGTAGTGCTTTCGTAAAAGGGGGGAGGGGTCACGAAATCATCTACAAGGCGAACCAACAAGATCTTGTTAAATAATCGAAAAATAATTTAGAGCTGAATCTACCAGTTGACTCCTTGAACAAGCACACTAGTCAAATGATTAAAAACATTCAATCCACTGAATCAATTTGATAGCTGAAGGCAGCCAATCAGAATGAAGGTGACACGTAAAATGGGGCATAAGTGGATTGATTGTAGTTGAAATGAAATGAAAATGTGAACATCAGTTGGGTCTCACAGGTCAATTGGTAAGTCACCAGGCCGGTAGTCAAAAGACACCTGGTTTGGATGTTATGGTAACTTCAGCCATCACCCTGTATGAAGAAGTGAATAAGACGCATAACAAATACAGAAAAAAAAGTGTCAGTAGGATATGAGTGGGCGAATGGATAATGCGCTTGGATTACACATACAGTTTGCTGAGGTTTGATTTGTGATTGAATGCAGCTTGATGCGTACTTCGTCCTACTTGAGTCTCGTCAGCTGTATCCCCCTGAATCCTATTGGGTGGTATCTTCCCTCACGAAGACTCGAACACCGTACCCACTGCTTCTTGAATAATGTCTTTCATAAGAAAGCCTCCTCACTTCATGGTTAGCGAATATATTTTAGAAGGTGTCTACTCATAGTGACACAGCAGTGGGTATCAAAAGTAGTTCCATCAATATGACTGTTCGACTTTCAAGGCGTTTGTGTCACACTGATTGTTCTTCAGATGACTTTTTTACACCACAGAGTGAAGTGAGTTACTGAATCATCGGAAACAAGGAAGCACTAGATAGCCATTTACTTCCAAATAGCGAAAACCGACAAAGGTACATAGGATAAGGTTCAACACATTTAGGTCTCACGGCAGCCAAGTCCCTTCATTGTTGGACAGAATTAAAATCAGACGTTTTAATTGCCAAATGGAGACACTAACAACCATATCAGATACTTCTCAATTTGTAGCTCAGTGGGGTCATCAAGACCCACTAGTGAGTTACCCCAGACTGAGAAAACAATAGAAGTTCACTTCTGTCTGGCTTTCGGTGTTTTTCTAACTGATGTAGATGTGAGATAAAAACTCCTCTGATGTTTTTATTCATTGTTAGAAAAAACGTTGTCTTGTGACAGCTTAATCTGTTAGGGGATGTAGTTATGAAGATGTGGTTTATTGGTTTAAGCAGTTGACTTTCAACTAATGTCTCATGGGTTCGACCCTCACTCCAACTATTAAAGTTTGTGGAGCTAGGTAGTATCATCAGCCTTCATACAACAATCGTCACTCACTGCCGACTGCAAGAATGTGCACACAGTAAATGAGTTGATTTTCAAGGGTATATAGTTATCCAAGACTTTAATGATGCTTCCAGTCGGAGTACGTAACTTGTCACCTACTCTGATGATTTTCTCATGACATTATAATACCACCATATATAACAAGGGTGATGGGACATTACATGACCTTATGGTTGTTTTTCTTGATTCAATGAAGGTTGTCTGCTGCATAAATGCACCCATCACCATATATATAGGCTTCTCAACAACCTCCCATGCCTTAATAAGGTTCACTGGTATTTCACTTTGGACTAACTAATGATGAAGACTCCGTGTACTGCACAAAACTCTTGTGATCGACTTCAAGCTCACGCAGACGGCATAACTCTGTTTGACACAGACTAATAAGATATGGATATTTCCGAATGTACTGATAAAAATCATAGAATATTCAGCATGTTTCCTGTAATGATGATGAAATGT